GCCCAGAAGGAGGAGCCTTGGACAGTGGGAAAGGGTGTGTGGGTGGGGGGATGCCCCTTGCCCTCTTGCAAGGTTTCCCTGGGCTGTTGAGTCTGGCTGACTGGGAGCTCCAGGGAGCCTGCTTGAAGCTATTGAAGGGAAGGAGGCTCCAGTTCCCCACAAGGCCCAACCCTCAGGCCAATATGCCACCCTATAGACCCCATCCAGTCTGAAGAGCACAAGGGGTGGGCCAAAGCCAAGGACTTACAGATATTCAGGGTTCCCACTCCATCTCCGTCCAACCTGGGGGCAGAGGAGAGACCTGTGAGAGCAGCTCTTCCCTCAGCGCGGGAGGAGGCATTCCCAGCCCCCTCCGTCCATGCCCCAAGCAGGGTCCATGTTCTCCCCCCTGCCCCCACACTTCCAGCCTTCCTCCAGCCTGGTTGAAAAATGAGCGAGGAGGAGTGGGGGCAGGGTTCATTTAGGCCCTCCTACCTACTGGCTACAGGACCTTGGGAATGTCTTAGAGCCTCCATTTCCTCAACCGTAAATAGGGCCTAACTCAGTACCAACCTCACAGGGTTGTTTGGGAGGGTTAAATGATGATTTACCTAAATCTCTGGGCACACAGGATTCGGTAAATGGTTGCCACTCTTGTTATTACACAGACAGCTGCCTCCCCTAACCAGATCATAAAAACCTCAAAGTGGGCTGTAGCTTACTGATTACTGTGTCTCCAGCCCTGCATGAGGTCTGGCATGTATAATTACTATGTGTTGAAATAATGAATGTATTGTTGACTGAGTGAGTGCAGCTTCAGCAGGGACTGAGGAGGGAATGGGGAGGCAGGGGGTGGCTTTAAGCAGCCAGTGGGGCTGAAACACATCTTGCACTGGAAATTAAAAATCCACCTAAGACAGCTGGATGTGTTTGCTTTGTGACACACAGCCCATTGTCACCAAGCCTTTGGCCTTGGGGATGAGTGTAGGCTCACATTTGTGGAAGGAGTGAGGGAGACACCTGGCCTCAGCAGCCCCAAGTCCAGGGGACAGAGCAAAGGCCAAGGGCAAGAGATGGGTATGCTAGGAAGCTTTCAGGCCCCTTGTTAAATAGCCCCTGCAAGTACTGGGTGTTTCTGGCAGCTGGGGGGAGGGGGCAGGTTGCAATCAGGCAACAATTCCATATAAGAATTCAATTCCTAAAGAACTCAAAAGGAGGGAACCTGAATGTCTCAGGCTCTAGTGATCTGTGTGATATTTCTTTTCTGATCTTAAGTAAATATTTGTTTTGTGCTCAATTTTATATTTGTAACTATTCTTAACAAAAGCCCCCCAAATTGGATGAGTTTCTAAATCCTAGACCTGCCCTGGGAAGGGCTGAGAGATTAAGGGATAAAAACAAGGTGTCCATCTCCATGTCCCCTAAGGGTGGAGAGAGGACAGTCTCCCCTAAGAGAACCAGGATCTAAGCCCCAGTGAGAGCAACCTGGTCTGAGATGAGGATTTCAGGAGGAACATCTATCTGCACTTGCAGTGTGACCTTGAGCATGCCACTCAACTAGGCTTCAGCCCCCTCATTTTCCCACAGGATAAAGTGGATCAGGCCCCACACTAAGGGTCCCCCAGCTCTGATTCTAGGAAGAAAAGAGGCCCAGTGTGCTCACTCCCAAGAGAGTGAGGCCCTTGCACCCACGGTGGAGGGCGCAGAGAGAGGCACCTTGGCTGGGACAGTTGGGCTCATGGGCTGCCCTGTGCCCCAGATCTCTCTTCCCAGAGGTCTTTGGTGTTCCATTCCTCTTCCACAAAGACTAAGTGCCAACCTTCCTCCTGCTTCCCACCGCTGCTTCCAGACTGAGTTCAGCATGCAGGCACTCTGCCCCCAGCGCTCCCTTGTTCCCCACCTTCTCCCTCTCCACTCCATTCATTTCCCATCTTCTCTCCCCAGCCCTCCGGAACAATGCTCAGAAAAGAAAAAGTCCTTTGTAAACTCAGCATTTTACAGGTCCAAGTCACTAGTCTCTAAGCGCTTCCTTTGCAGACGTTCTGTCTCCTCTGCCCCTCTGCAAGCTCCCTGAGGATGGAAACATGTCTTACATATTATCTATCTCTGTTGGGTTCCAAAAAGCCAAGCCACGATGAGTCCTACTTCCAGGCCTTTGCCCACGCTGCTCCCTCTCCCCCTCTCCAAATCTGAACCTTCCCCCAAGTCACACTCTAAAGCCTGCCTGTTGAATGAATGAATCAATGTACCCATCAAGGTGAGAATGAAGGCCCAGCTTCCTGGACATAGGTTCCATGTCTTCCGTGAAGAACGCCCTATAGGACTAACCCATCCCAGCCTCCTCTCAGGCTGCAGGCGAGTATACCAACCTCTCTGGGGACAAGGAGAACTTAACCTCCACCACCTTCAGTTGATACCACATGACTTAGCACTTTGTACAGTGAGAAGCGGCCTGGCGTTATGGAAGATGCTTAAACCAGGAGTCGGCAGAGCTTGACTGCACACCAGCCCTGTCCCCTCAATTAATAAAACTGAACTACAGTTTCTCCTCTATATTAACAATACCTGACCTGTTTACCTGAATGTGTTCTAAGGATCAAATAAGATGACCCTGCTAATGGCCACACACACCCATGAAGTTATTACTTCAACTTTTCCAATGAATTTTACATCACAAGGTCTTTCCTTCTAGGTCATCGCATCAAGGGCAAAGAAGTAAGCCTCAGCTGTACCCTCCCCGCACCCCCACCTCCAGTGCCCTGCAGAAGAGGGTGCATAGGAAATGCCTGTTGATAGATGAATGTCAAGCCCCAGGCCCCACTGAGTCCCAGGAGGATCCCTTTCTCAGCTTCTGTGACCTCACCGGCTCTCCTCGCCTTCCAGCAGCTTGCGGTAGGTGGCAATCTCGATGTCCAGGGCCAGCTTGACATTCATGAGCTCCTGGTACTCCCGGAGCTGCCGGGCCATGTCCTGCCTGGCTCGCTGAAGGGCAGCCTCCAGCTCCTCCTGCTTGACACGTGCGTCCTTGAGTGCCAGCTCCCCACGGTCCTCAGCCTCAGCGATAGCGGCTTCCAACTTGGCACGCTGTGAATGGTAGAGGAGCTGTGAGGCCTTCCTGCCTCCCCATCCTGCAGCAAGCTCCCAGGCAACTTGCCTACAGAGTTTCATTGGCACCAGCCACCTTCCTCAAGCACTGGAGGATCCCAAGGGTTAAAAGCATGAGTACTGATACCCAATGCCTAGGTTCCAATTCTGTCTCTGCCACTTATGAGCTATGTGATCCTCTTCTCTAAAATAGCAATAATCATGGTATCTATCTCCTAAGGACATTGCGAGAATTAAATGAGGTAATACATAAATCCTGGCAGAGTGTCCAGCATAGGGGAAGCACTTAATAAATCCTATTAGAATTACTATTATTAATAAATGCTATTATGATTTGCAAATGCCCAGCTCCCCAGCCTTCCAGTGGAGCACCTCCAAAGCCATGGGATCCTAGTTAAGTTCCCAAATTTCAGGCAGCTGATAAGAACCAAAACAACCTTTAAAACAGGAACAGTCTGGAACAGGCCCAGAACAGGAGGGCTTGAAGCAAAGACATTGCTTGGAACCCCCAAACCCAAAATGCATGATCAACAGTCCCCAGATTCGAGAGGGGTGATCAGATTCACAGTGGACCAGAGCAGTAACTGCCACTTCCTGCCTGGCCTTAGCATTCCCTCTGCTTGTGGTTCACCCCCCACCAGGAGCCTATCTAGTGCTGGACCTCTTGTCAGCTTAGAGGGCTGCCATCCCCATGCCCTAACCCACTGCTCCTTCTCCTTCCTTCCCACCCACCATTCCCTGTCTTCAGATCCTCTCCCCTCAGCTCATGTACTCTGCCCCTCTGCCCAGCCCCCCAACCCTCCCCAGGAGGCCCTCTGATGTTCTCTGCCCCTCATCCAGCTGCCAATGCCCTTCCCTGTCACAGTGGTGCCCCCTTGACGAGGCCCACCCCACTGCCTCTAGGCGCCTCAACAGAGGCAGACATCCCAGCTCTGGGGCCTGGTTCCGCCCTGCAGTATGAGAGGAGACCCGGATGTGGTAGAAGCTGCAGGGTTTGGGCAACCAACATTCCTTATGCTGTTCCTCCCCACTGACCTGGAAGCTGGCTGGCTTCACCAGTGACTCACAGCCCTGCATCTGTGCCAGAGGCAGCCTCCACCCTCATGTCAACAGGCCTGCAGGGCTCCGAGGGGAGGACATTTCTGGGCAAACCACCCCAAAATCCTATCCTCCCAGTTCATCTGGAAGTTAGCTCTCTGGGCTGCCAAACAGTCACCTTCCCTCCCTCCCCACTGCAGACACCTGCTCAGGCTTAGCTGCCCCTCCCACCTCTGTGGCTCCGCCAGGGCTTAGGAGACCCCTCCCTCATCAACACCCCCACACCAGCTTTGCAGCATGTTCTCCCATCAGACTGTGGTCTGAGACCTGGGCCTTAACCATGTGCCAGGTGCTGGGAAGGGAAGAGCTCTGAAACAGACCAATGGGGCCCCTGCTCTAAGGCAGCATTTTTCTATATTCCAGTGGAGGTGGGGGACAGTCAATATTTAATTCATGAAACAGAACATTTCAGATAGTGATAGGTCCTTTATTCAGAAAGCCTGCTGATAGATTAGCTGGGTAGTTGAAAAAGCCATCCTGAGGTCTTTTGTCCTAAACCCCAGGGATCAGAAAGGGGCAGCCATGCACTGAGCTGGGAGAACCACATTCCAGGTAGACGGAACACAAAGTGCAAAGGCCCTGAAGCATGAAGATGCCTGGCAAATGTTAGGTACAGGGAGCGCGTGAGGGAGTAGTGGACAGTGAGGTCAGGATTGAGGCAGGGCTTTGTGAGCCACAGTAAGGGTTTCTACAGGCCACTGTCCCCCACTTCCCACAACCGTGAGCTCCCAGGCACAGCATATTGTACCTAGAGCTGGGTGCAAGGAGAGTGCTCAGTACCAATTTGGTAACAAATGGTGGTTCTCCTCTGGCCAGCCAGCCAGAGGTTTCTTCCACTGGCTCTATGGCCAGCTAGGATTCCTCTTCTCCCTTTGACCCGAGCCAAAACCTAGCCAAGAACATTCCATCCTGGAGCTTCCACAAGTCGGCCTGAGCTACACCAGCCTCGGCCCAGGTGGGGCAGTAGGTGGGGGGCAGGGGCAGGGCTGACACCCCCACCCCCAGCCTCCTGCTCCTCACTGTCAGCTGGCTGCCCTGCACAAGCCCTAACAAATAGGGAGGAGCAAGGAGGGTCGCTTGTGCCCACCTGGTTCTTGATGTTGTCGATCTCAGCCTGCAGCCTCTGGATGGCCCGGTTCATCTCCACAATCTCATTGCGAGTATTCCGGAGGTCCTCCCCATGCTTCCCAGCCTGGGCCTGGAGGGTCTCAAACTGGAAGAGCCGCACAGAGAAGTATGGCAGAGGGTAAGCAATGGTTACAGGTGACTTGTCCCTCTCCCCACCCGAGGAAGGCCCAAGGTTCTGAGTGACAAGCCCTCTTGGCTCCTTTTCCCAGGGAGGGACAGGCTGACTCCCAGCAACCCTTACCTAATGCTAAGAGGCCAGGCATAGGGCAGCAGGGTGGCTCATGGGCTCAGTTTCCTCCCATCCAGGACAGAGAGGACAAGGATGGCTCCTGGGGCCCATCCCCATTGATGCTGGGGCTCTTGCCATTCCCATCACTTCATAGTGCTAGAGAATCACTAGCAGCCGGAGATCCTCTCCTATCAAGCAGCCCCCTCCTCAGCACCACCCATTTCATAGATGAGGAGAGTGAATCCCAGGGAATGAAGGCACTGCCAAGGATCGCACAGCAAATCTCCTTGTTGGCAGGCCTGTGTTCTCGCCTGTGCACCACGGATGATTCCCTATCCCTGCAGAGACAGCCCTCTATGCTGCTATAAACTCTGCCTCAGGCTCCCTCCCCCAGAGCCCCTATCCATTCCCTCAGCACCTGCAGTCAGCTGTGCTGCCTCCACATAGTGCCTGATCTGCAGCCTTAGGTCCTGCTTTTCCACCTACTAGCTGTGTGGAGTTAGGCAAATTACTGAACCTCTCTTTACTTCAGTTCCCTCATCTGTAAAATGGGGATAATACAGTGCCTACCTAATAGGACTATTCTGTGGTTTAAATGAGTCAATACAAGTAAAACATCTGAAACACTGCCTAACACTATGACTACTTGCCACACCTTACTTATTACAATTATTAAACCACGTCCATTTCCTCTGCCCTGCTCCCGCATCAGAGCAGGGCCCTGTCTGGACACTGGAGAGCACCACAGACTTACACTGGTGCCTGCCAGAGCAGTGGAACCAGGCCCTAAAGGTTTGAGACAGGGTGAGGAGTAAGGGAAACTGCCACCAAGGGCCCTGCAGGAGGAGGAAATGTGTCCCCAGTGGCTCACACCTTGGTCTGGTACCAGGTCTCGGCCTCAGCCCGACTACGGTTGGCGATCTCCTCGTACTGGGCCTTGACCTCGGAGATGATGCCGTCCAGGTCCAGGGAGCGGTTGTTGTCCATGGACAGGACCACGGATGTGTCGGAAACCTGGGACTGCAGCTCTGACAACTCCTATAGGGACCAGACAGAACACTGAGATTTGAGGCATGACCCACCCCTGTTCCCATGTCCGTCCTGGGAGTCCTCACACACCAGAGAAAGAAAAAGGGAGATGAGGCCAGAGTTGGCATGAGTCATCAGGCAGGAAGGCGGCACAGACCAGCATCTGCTAAATAGTTCTTCCCACCCTGACTCCCTGAAAAGCCCATTAGCAATTTCTCAAATAAGAGTCTGGTGGGATTGCAGCAGACTAAAAAAAAAATTAGTGACAGGGTGTGGTGAGCTGTGATGGCTCCTGCAATGAGGTGCTGCCAGGAGTGAGCTCTACTCTGAAAGGGATCACTAGGGGGTGAGTAAAATAAGTCATGTTCTGCCCTATAATGGAACACTCTGCAGCCTTTAAATCTGATTATATGGCTATATTTACAAACAGGGAAATATACCCATGACATACTGTTACATGGAAAAAGTATAGTTTCTTTTTTATTAAAATATATATTTCTATAACTCTGCATATATATGCACAAAAAAGTCTGAAAAGGTAGATACCAAGATGATAAGAGCAGGTATAGGTGACCTATTTTCAATTTTATGCTTTACTTAATTTTCTGGATTTTTTGCAATGAGTACATACTTCATAATGAGAAGAAAATAATTATATATACATATATAATACACAGATATATGTATATATGTGTGACACACTATGTGATACACATATGAAAGCCTGCACTAAGATTTAAAATGCCCAAAGAAAGCCTCAAGTATCCAGCCCCTGAAATTAGCACGTGGAAATTCACTCTGAGAGCTAATGGAGGCTGAATATTTAGGCAGACTAGACTGAACTGAGAAATGAGAGCTATACTTAGGGCCACATGTAATTATGCCCCAGGCCAGTCCTACCAGATGACTGGCCACCCTATCTTCTGCCTAAGGTCAGAGCCTCACACTGATGGGAGTGGAGAGGATTTTCGGTCCCATAAGGGAAAGAGCTGGAAGCCCAGGGCAGGGAAAGGGTGAATCGGAGCGAATGAGATGGGAGGGTAAACAGACAGAGTGGCCAGTTGGTAGACAGCCCAGAGGGACTGGGTGGAAACTCTCAAGTACTCCAGTCTCTCTTGACTCGGGCTCCATTGCCCGCCCCAGCCAGCCCACCATTGAACTCTGTCACAGCCCGGGATCCCTTGACATCCTCCTGGCTCCTTCAGCCCCTCCCTATCCCACTTCCAGACAAATAGTCATTCCATGTCTCCAAATGGCCAACGCTGATGGAGCCTACACCTTACTCTGATAAGGCCAGTCCCTGTCCACCAAGGATTTCTGAGTCCAGAAAGGATCAAGAACAGGATGAAGGCACCCCCACACAGTCAGCACACATCCAGACTAGCCCAGAGGCAGGGGTGGTTCCCTGGTTAGGGCATGTAGGACATAACATGTCTCCCACTCCTGAGGTTCTCACCGCCTCATAGAAGGTCCTGAGGAAGTCGATGTCCTCATTCAGGGCATTCACCTTGGCCTCCAACTCCACCTTGTTCATGTAGGCAACATCCACATCCTGGGGGGGGAGGGGTACACAGACCATTTAGCAGGGGTGGGAGTAAGCCAGCACTGTCCAGCCTACAAGGCCAAACACCGCTGCCCTACCAAGAAACATCCAGTTTCTCCAGGCTGCCTGATACGCCCAGGGCGGGAAGTTTCCTGTACTCGATCCTCTCAGGCTGCATGCTGGACATCATCTCCATGAAGCCCCAGGACAGGAGGCACTTTCTTAGTTCTGGGAGCCCAGAGCAGCCTTTACCCCAAACCCAGCACTTTACCAATTCCTAGAGGCGTTGGTGGTTTGTACACAGCCTTGGCTCTGCCACCTACTAGCCATGTGACCTTGAACAAATTACTTCGATTCTGTGAGCCTCAACTTCTGATCAGTCAAATAAAGAGCATAAAATCATTCAGACTCCAGGGCTCCACTCTCAGAGATGGAAGATCTGAAGCCTGAATGTTTAACTTGCAGCTTGGGTGATTCTGGCACAGGTGGGCCACAGACAACACAACAGGTCCAGATGATGCTTGGATCCCTTCTGGCCACACTTTCCTGTGGTTAAACTCCTATTAGTAGGGCCCACTTTGACCCACCCCTGAATCTCCAAAGTCCCAGCACACTGGAGGGAGCTGCGTTTATGTGGATGGTCCTGGAAAACTCAGCTGCTCAGTGAATGTGCGCTGATTCGGAATCTTAAATCAAGCCCCTTTAAGATAATTTCTAAGACCTTCCAACTTCGGCTTATACATTTCCAGGGATGGGGAATGGACTCTGCCTCAAGGCAGCCCATTCCATTCATTCAGCAAGTATTTCCGGCATGCCATGTGCCACCCTTGTCTGTAATGAAATGTTCTGACCATGATAGAACACTTCCTTATTTGGGGTTGGAATCTCCCTTTCTAACCGTCCTTTGATATTAATTCTAACCCCTCCAGGCCCAGAAACTAGTCTAGCAACTAACCACACACTCGCACACATGCACGCACACAAGACAGACTATGCTGTAAGGGCCTGACTTCCAGATCTCTCCTTCTCCAAGCCCATCATTCCCTTCCTACAGTCCCCCAGGCCAGGCCTTGGCCACAGGTCCCTATTGGCTGCTCAGGTGAGAGGGCCATGTGGTCCCTTGTCCCGTGTTTTCAGACAACATCCCCCATCCCTCTTATCTGCCCCCCTCACCTTTTTCAGCACCACAAACTCATTCTCAGCAGCCGTGCGCCGGTTAATTTCCTCTTCATACCTGCAGTAGAGGAAGAGAGCATGGTGTTGGTGCAGCTTTGCCTCCACCCCCCTCAGGTCCCGGTGTGAAAATCTACCCTGCATCACCCTCACCCTCTCCTTAATGACACACCTAAAAGAACAGGTGTCAGCTACGAAACCCAATGTCCCTGATTTCCCATCTGGTGATTCCTTGGCATGGGATAGAGGGTGGGGGAGCAGGGAACATGTGAATTAAAGGACAAAGGCTGCATATACTGGGAGAAAGCAAAGAATAAAAGCCTTGCTTATGGACCACTTCGTCACTTCATATGTGGCCTGCACTGTTGTGTGCTTTCTGTGCATTAATTCATTTAATCCTCACAGCAATCTTTTTCTTTTAATCCTCACCCAAGAATATTTTTTGTATTTGAGAAAGAGATATATCATTGTGGGAGAGAAACATCGATGGGCTGGGGATCGAACCCACAACCTAGGTATGTGCCCTGAGAATGGAACATGCAACCTTTTTGGTGTATGGAACGATGCTCAACCAACTAAACCCCCGGGCCGGGCAATCCTCACAACAATCTTACAACAGTGTCACAGTAGTTAGCAAGGCAGGGAATGGAGGCACAGAGAGGTGGAGTAATCTGTCCAGTCACAATACTGTTAAGTGGCAAAAAAAACTCTGGCAGTCTGATTCCAGGTCCGTGCCTTAGAAGTGGCCTGAATGGGAGGAACCTTGTGGAACCAGGAAGGGGGTGCATAAATTCCTGGAATAACCAGGCTTCAACTAGGCGGTCTAGTCTCCCTCCCCCTCCCATTCCCCTTTCTCCCAAGGTGCCAGCCCCACCCATAGGAGGACATCAGCAAAGCAAGGCACAGAGCAAGAAAGCAGGGGAGGCCTGGCCGGGCGTGGCTCGGTGGTTGAGCATAGACCTAGGATCCAGGAAATCGCCATCGGATTTCCCGGTCACGGCACATGCCCAGGTTGCGGGCTCGATCCCCAGTCGGGGGCGTACAGGGGGCAGCCAGTCAATGATGACTCTCTCATCATTGATGTTTCAACTCTCTCTCTCCCTCTCCCTTCCTCTTTCTGAAATCAATAATAGCATTTAAAAAAAAGAAAGAAAGAAAGCAGGGGAGCTTAACCCAGTATTTATTTGGAAACTTAAATGAAAAGGTGTCAGAGACAGGAACTCAGCAGTGCCCAAGAGTTGCGGGGGAGCAACTGTGGTGGGGAGCAGGTGTTTGGGCAGGCAGACACCCTCCAGGAGCCCAGACCCTCAAGGTCCCTCAGGTCCTATAGAATAGTTACGGAAATATCCTTGAGGCTGTCTGTCCACCCCTGCCTGGGCAATGTGCTGCTGGGTCCATAGAGTGTGCAGGTGGGAGCTTCTGGGCAGCTGCACCCAGGGCCCTCCCTGCGCCTCCTTCAGCCCCAGCCTGGAGCTCAGTCTGCTCCACAGGAAAGCTCTGTGGGCTCTGGGGTGGGGAAAAGTATGGATGCCCACAAATTCGAATGCACATAACAAAAGAGGCTCCTTCCCTGCCCTGCACCTGTCTCTTTCTAGTTTCTGTGGGATCTATCCTGTTGACTATTGCCCCAGGGAAGTAGGGGGTGGGCACTCTCCATAGAGGCCTTTGTTTGTTCTACCTCCAGTCAGTGCCAGTGTCCCTGTTCTGGCTTAGTCACGTACCTCCAGGCAGAGCACAGAACTCACTCACTACCCCCAGTACCCACGGCATAGGCATGCCAGGGTGGGGCCCAGCCCGAGCCTCAAGTTTCGTTTCTATTCAACGAGAAAACTCAGTGGGCACCTCAAAGGTCAAAACCCCAGCCTTCCTGCCCCCTAGACTCCCTGCCCCTTCTCACAGCCTCCTTTCTGGTTCTGGCCCTGATCACATCTGCCCCTCAGCCTCTGAAATCCCTCTCCTGGCTCACAATGATCATTCTCTCCTCACTTCTTTCCAGCCCAAGTTGGTTCCATGTCTCGTCCTGGGAGTCAGGGGCCCAAAAAATTCAAGTCCCAATTCTCCCAATGATCTGCTATATGATCTCAATCGAGTCCCTGAACTCTCTTGTCTCTAATTCCTCACCTGAACAAAATGAAGCTGTTCTAGAATAATCCGTGAGGGCTGTGCAAGTTCTGAAACACATCTGTCAAACCTTCTGCCCTACCCTCTCCTGGGGTCTTGGTCAGGCACCCAAAGGACACGGGCAGGGCAGGGCTGGGCAGAGAGATTTTACTGGGAGTAATTCAAGATAAAAGACCAGAGTGACTTGGGAACAGCCCCCAGGGACAAAGAGGGACTAGGACAGGCAGGGAATGTATTAGTCAAGACCATTCAGGGTTACTGTACTGAGCAGCTTCACCCTCTGACCCCTAACTAGGAGGGGACTTACAGAGGGCCAGCTGATTGGGTGCACATTGGCCCGAATCTGACCCCCCCAAAGTACACACTGGGAGGCAGTACTTATTCTTGAAGTCTTCCACCAGCTCCTGCGTGCTCCGAAGCTCCGTCTCCAAGCGGCTCCCATCCATCTGCAGGGCCTCGAGCTGTTGGCGCAGGCCAGCAATATAGGCTTCAAAGATGCCCGGGAGGCGGCTTCTCTTGACTGACTTCTGCTCCTGCAGTAGAGCCCACTTGGTCTCCAACAGCTTGTTCTGCTGCTCCAGAAACCTCACCTAGAAGGGAAATAGAGGAGGAAACTCATGAGGAGACCATGCTGCCCACAGTGGGGTTGGGAGGGTCCCCAGCCACCCAGCAGAACCCATGCTCCCACTGGCTCTGGGCCGCCAGGCCCTCACCCTCTCCTCCAGGAAAATTGCCCTGAACAAGTCTCTTCTCCAGGACTCTCTGTCTCAGGTGTCTTAGAGTATGACCCAAGGGTCATGTGTACCTGGTTCACCGGTGTGTCTGGGCACTGTGCTTTAAGGTCTCCTTTTCCTACGCTCCCCATCGCATTAAAGGTGATCTCTACCTCCCTCTCTGAAGGGGTTCCCCTTCCCGTCTGTGTCCTGGGCCTGACTCAGCCTCCTCCCTTCAGACTGGAACCTGTCTGTCCTCCCTCAGTATCCTCTCTCCCCTTCCCTTTCCTCCAGTAAGGCCTCAGGACAGGGAGCTACAATCTGGTCAAAGTAAAATGAGCACCTATTATGTGCTCAGTCCTGGGGCCCAAAAGGCCCCTAAGGAGCACCCAGTATGACTGAGGGTGGGAAGCAAGCCTCCTCAGAACCAGTAACTCAGGGCAGTGGACCTAGGGGTTGTAGACAGTGAGACAGAGCAGCTCAACAGCAGGGAAGGAACCTGGGCCGGGGAGGCTTCATCAGAACCTGAAGGACATGTACAGTCTGAATGGTGAAGGAGAAGAGGACATTGGAGGCCGGGTAAGTGGAGAGGCAGACACACAAGGCAGGAGAGGGAAGGCCTGGTCTACGCCTGAGGGAGGAGGCCCTGGCCAGTGGGGCCCAGCTGGGCTAGCCCTTAGTTCCTGCGTCCAGCCCCACTCTACCCGCTTCTAGACTCACCAGTCAAGCCTGCCCCCCTCCCTCCCAACCACCACTCTCACTTCTCACCCCACCCACTCCTCTGGAATCCAAAGCCAGAAAAAAAACCTCCCAAATGCCCCCCTCTCTGCCCCTAAATGGGCTGCCTCCAAAGGCAGTTATAACCTCGCTCATTTCCTACCACCTAAGGGAAGCTAGAGGACCAGGTAGGGTGTGGCGGGTGTGGCGGGTGTGGCGGGGAGCCTCCCCGATCTCCCTCCAGCCCTTTATTTTCAGCATCTGCCTTAGGGTAGAAAGTGGGGGTGAAGGGGAGGGCCTCCACAGCTGGGAAGGGCGTTTCACCCCTACCCCACTTCTGACTCCACACAGCCCCCTCGCAGAGAAGGGGGCCCAGAAAGCGAGAAACTCCTGGCCCTGGCCTCCCTGGGGCTCCCAGTATTGGAGGAAAGAAAGGCTAGTTCCCCCAGCGCCCAGCCCTCCAGCAGTCGGAGCTGAGTGGCCGCCGTGGCCTGGCGCGTGGCGGGACTGGGGCAGGTGCAGCCGGCTCACCTTGTCGATGAAGGAGGCGAACTTGTTGTTGAGGGTCTTGATCTGCTCCCGCTCCTCCTGGCGCACCTGCTGGATGGAGGGGTCAATGTCCACCTGCAGAGGGGCCAGCAGGCTCTGGTTGACGGTGACCTGGTGGATGCCGGCGCCCGCCGGCGCCCCGTAGGCAGAGCGCACCGCCGCCCGCGGCCGCAGGGCGCCCAG